TACCTGACCATCATGAGGTCGATAGCTTTCAAGAATTGTTTTCAAATTAGTACAGACGTTATGGATGAACAACGTCCGTATTCATGTGATGATGCAGATTCTTGTATCGTTGTAGCGGGCATGTAAATATTTTTCAAGTTGATTGTGTATATAATCATATTCACGTTTAATAAAGACTTAAATTGTCATCAAATATTTTATTCTTTTTCATATACGTTCATAAAAGGTAAAAGTATTAAATAGGACATTCCATCTGGTTCCTTGACGTCGCATCGAGTGAGAAGGAAAATCCGAAATACCATTTCCACTTCCTATCGTCGTAGATTCCATCTCTGTACCTTGTTTCATGGGGCTCTGATCTTATTCTGACACGTGTCCTCTGTAGTATCAGCACCTCTTGGACGGACTCATCAATAATGCAGGAATCGAGATTTGTTGCACATACCAGCTGTCTATCCATGGTTGCCGGTTATATCGGTTTCTAGACATTTGATAAAGAGGCACAATAAACAGATCAAGATCAGCATTCTAACAGAAGAAGCGTACAACATTGTCAGTGAAGATAAGAGAGTAAGCATGGTTTAGTTCTGCTTTTCGTAATTTTCCAGGAATATCAGGTACAACAAACGGGCATCCTTGTTGGGAATCGACAATCTCTAATTGTAACTGACCACGCACCACCCCCAAATGTTCGATGTAAAAGGTTTTTTGAACTAATACTTTTTGATCTGGGTAGTTCACCTCATGTGACCTCATAATTGAAGTGGGGGCGGTGGTGTAGCTTAGTGGTTAAAGCGTTCGCTCGTCACGCCGAAGATTGGGTACAATGTGTGAAGCCCATTTCTGGTGTTCCCGCCGTGATATTGCTGAAATATTTTTATAAAGCGGCGTAAAACCATACTCACTCACTCATCATTCACGTTGAAAGCCTTAATGTACTCCCAGCATGAACGGAGAATACATTGACATTTTACACCTGCGCTCTGGGCTCCACTGTTTGAAGGCCATATGTAAATTGAGTAAGTGATGGGTACTACCTATAGCTTAGGACATGCTTTTTGTTGTCGAGACGGTTGGCTAGCCTAGTGGTTAAAGCGTTCGCTCGTCACGCCGAAGACCCGGGTTCGATTCCCTACTTGGGTACAATGTGTGAAGTCCATTTCTGGTGTTATCCGATGTGATATTGCTGGAATATGGCTAAAAGCGGCGTAAAACTAAACCCACTTACTTTGTTTCCACGAACACCGAAGTATTTCTATAATTATTATTAATATTTTGCCTCATATGCCGATGGAATCTGTTTTGGCAGATCATCGAATCTGGTTATTGTGTGGCGTTGACGTTTTATCATTTCCCAACCATTGATTCCATGCATTCCAGTTACCATTTCAATGTACAATTGTATATAAAGTATCATCATCATCATCATCATCAACTCATTAACGTGATTCACGCAGAAGCCTCAGTGTATAAGTGAGTGAATACAGACTGAAATCTTGTTGTAGACATGTATGTCTTAATGATAACAACATGTTCTCATAGGGTATATTATCTGATGCTCATGAGAGCTACCTGACATGATACTGAAAATACTTATTATCGTAGGCACGTTTGAACAGTGTTTATCAGGGATATTTATATATTCCTTGAGTTATGTAAATTGAATATCTCTCTAAGTAATGACCATGCTGTCAATGGAAATGAAATCAACACAGCTTGACCATTGTCATCATGGCCACCACCATAGAGTCATTAGCTGCCTATAATCAAAGTTAGACAAAGGCTGGTTGGCCACTGAAGCATGACATTGTGGACGAGGTGCGGGATACTGCAGGATGACCAGACATCTGTGGTCAATGCGACACGTGACAGTCTGATCAGACCCTTAGGGATAAATTGAGAATGCTTTTTGTTAGTCGGGACTTGACCCGGAGACAGCGACGTGGCAAGTTGGCTGACCATCGCCTCCGACATGCCGCCTAGTCATTGTTGTAACTTCATGTAGTTATACACATTGAATAACACACGAATAAAGTGTTGTGGACCCACTGATGGACTTCTGTATTTGAAGACACAGTTATCTCCTCTTAAACAGCCCGGGATATTATGCATAACGTTACATACTGACTGTACGCTCAGGGATTATGAAGATGTTAACAAAAACAACAACAGAGTTAACGCAGCCATTATATTATATCAAGGCAAGTGAGCGAGACGGGATACAGGCCGGTGACCTTTGTCACTTTGTTGAAATATGTGTGAAGACAGTTAAGGTTTTATAAGAGATAAAGTTACGTTGTATCTATCGAGTAGATGGAGAATCAGTGATTATGAAAATAGGTTTGTACTGATTCAACCACGAGCCATGATGATAACATATCAAACAAAGACCAAGTTTCACGTGTAATACAATCGAAACATCAAAAACGTTCATTATTCTGTTCCCAGGAATCTAGGAGGGTTTACGCAGCACTATCGATATTCCAGCTGTGTGACGTCACACTGTAAATAATCGGATCTGTTAAGATCTGGGTCTTCAGCAACCCATGCTTGTCGTAAAAGCCGAGTAACGGGATCGGGTGGTCAGACTCGCTGACATGGTAACACATATCGTCGTATCCCAATTGCGTAGATCGATGCTCATGCTGTTGATCACTGGATTGTCTGGCCCGTACTTGATTATTTACAGATCACCGCCAATAGCCATATTTTGTACTTGATAAGCCTTATGGGTTGACGTGACTTTTAAATAGTGAGTCCTATTTTCCTATGACACAGGAATTGCCACTGGTGACAGATTAATGGCCACTATTTTTCTATATATAGCGGTTCATATTGCAGGGACACAACTAGGGTTCTTATAAATGTAAGTAAATCTGTTTCGAAGAAATAAACCGAAGCGACCAAGTCCCCTAAGGATGCTTAAGGGCCCACCCTCCAAAATTCTTTAAATTAGATGCTCTTCAAAATTATAATGAAAAACCCGTCACACATACCAACATAATTTAAATCAACAGTTGCCCTTTAACCCCACCCCGTAATTGATCTATCATCCTCCCATCGTAAAGTATATTATGTAATATAATATGCATTCAACTAAAATAATAATGACAAGTTCCCAATGCTATTTTGACATGGTTTCCAAGGTCATCTATGTCTTCATCTGTCGTCGTGCACGGACTGAATGTAAATATACTTTTGTGAGTTTCTGAAATAGAACTGATAAATTCTCTTTATCCCAAGCTGAGAACTGGGAAAATTAACACGCACCCTTTGTAATCTTCATCGACCGCACGTGCTAGCGATTACGTGCCTCAGTCTGAGAGTGCGGGTTTGAATACTGTCGTAACTGGCGTTTGGGCGTTAGTAAACCCTACCACAGTTACTTACTACTTGTGGCCGTGCCCGTTGTCAGGGGGATATTGTCGCCCTGGCGCTCCACTCGCCTGGTCCGTTGTCAGGGGGATATTGTAGCCCTGGCGCTCCACTCGCTTGGTCCGTTGTCAGGGGGATATTGTAGCCCTGGCGCTCCACTTGCTTGGTCCGTTGTCAGGGGGATATTGTAGCCCTGGCGCTCCACTTGCTTGGTCCGTTGTCAGGGGGATATTGTAGCCCTGGCGCTCCACTCGCTTGGTCCGTTGTCAGGGGGATATTGTAGCCCCGGCGCTCCACTCGCTTGGTCCGTTGCAAGATGCTAAGTCCAGAAGTGAGGGGCCGGGCGACCTGGACTCCTAACTAACCGCATTACATTCTGGCAGGGGAGAGTTGTTGTTTTTTGACAACCATTATTGGTATGAGTATTTATGGTTCGAGCCTGGCCTCATCTTGATCAAATGTTTCAACTCATTGTTTTGATTCGTTAATCCTGTATCCGTCTTAGCACTCATGAATATTCTGATAGAAAATTATCGGTAAGTAACGTTCGGTCACTCTCCCCTCTTTATTGATTTGTTATTGTATTCTGTCTCTCACGACGGATATATTTCTAACTTATGGCTAAACGCCATTCTCTCTAGACTTTCTGTCTAACCGTTATCACTCATGGGCCAAACTGCAAATCGTTATCTATATACGGAATCTGACGTAATTCTCTACTCATATAGGGATGCATGTTTACCTTATAACAATACCACTTGGGACTCAATCCCCCAAAGAAACGCAGAAAATGTAATCCTAAATGTTAAATAGATTACATTTGACCACTTTCAGTGTTCAGAAATGTGTAGACATAATGTGTCCAAGTATATTTCCGCTGTCCTTAAAGACGGCAGCCCAGTCTCACGTCACACTCAGTTACTTTATCCGGCAAATCGACCCATGGCAGTTGATGAATTTTAGCGGACAGTGTTTGACAACTGGGAAGAAGCCAGTGCCCCTCTAAGTCTGACATTTCTGCTTCAGCTAATCCATAAACGAGTCATGTGTGGATTAGAAATACAATCTAGTGACAACAGAATCCAAATAATTAGGAAAATAAAAGATCCTGCTAACTTGATTGTATTTCTGAATGTACGTCACAACATGTAAACGAGGGATATTCTATGTCCGCTTCAAACACTTTCACCATATTTCTTCTCTGACATCAACTGTGGCGTATTTGGATTCACAACTACAATAATTTCATCTCAACAATATTCATGTGGGGATTTAAAACATTTGTATTACAGAGAAGAAACGACACATTGCGATAAATCCATGATTTGAAACAACTTTTGATGAATTTGTGACTCAGTTATTTGTTGTGATATTTCCCAGACATGAATGAAATGTATGATAAACTGGTCAACTACTGCAGAATAATAATCATAACAATAGTCATGTGTGGATGTAAAATCTTTCTTATACACAAGAGAATCCAGTCAAGTAGAAAAACAACACATTTAACTGACTTCGTTATATTCTTGTCCACAACAAACAGCACATAGACAGACAACTTATACGTCCGCCTCAATCACTACAATTACATTTGACAGTTGAAATAAGTAAGTCACACTTACAAGTTTACACAATGTCATGTTTATTTCATTGTCTAATTCAAGGCGTCATAGATAAGTGACTTCTTGGTGTCAGTCATGGTGATATCTGCCCCACTTATCACCTTCATGTTGACTGTGTAGGCATCTGGCTGCCCAACACCAAACATGGGAAGAAGAGACTCGCTCCACTCAACATCCACCTTGGCTAAAACAACCTCTCTGTTGAGGTCTATGAAGGCGAGTCTCCCCTTCCCCACATCCAGCACAACGCCGTAGTGGAAGGTGGCCTGTGTGCCGCGTGTGTCAGACATTGTGTTAGTGTAACACTTCCCCTCCTCTCCCTGCTGCCACACACTGGTACAGATACTCCCGCGGTGTATGCCACAGCTCCATACACTGACACACCAGGAGCGGTGCTGTCGGAAAACATGGCACTCGCTGTCCACCTGGCTCTCCTCCCCCACACCCACCTCCAGGACAAGCCTCAACAACAACCCTCCAACCACCACACCAGCCCTAGAGTGTGTCTCCCAGTATCGTGGTGTGTGTGGGGCAGGGGTGACAGTAGAGGGAGATGGAGGAAGGGGGATGGGGGTGGAGGCACATGTACCCCGATATTTCCGTAACCTGCCGCTGTGTCTGTGTTGTGTGGCGGGCGGCGAGTTCACCAGCTCACCGTCTTTAGTTACGTGGCACTCGTCGGTGTTGGCTCGAGCAGCGTCCAGTTGTAGTTTAGGACCTGGAAATATACATTTTGTTTACAGTTTAACAAATTTCCCGACTTCAGACAACAAATTAGTCATCTTATTGTCAACCTCGTTTCAATGTTTACAAAACAGCACACTGAATGACTGGCCGCTATTTTCGTCTGTGTGTGAATTGTATCACCACTGTCACTTAAATACACACAATTATACTGTGAAAATATTTGTATGGGTATTCTAAATGTTTTACATACAGTTTTATATTGACTGACAATGAAATAAACACTCCATGAAACATTTTGTCAGACACTGTCAGTCGAGCTGGTTTGGAGTCAGTAGTCAGAAATAGACATTTCCGTATGAAAACTCATATGTATAACATCATTTCGTGATAAAACTATTACTGTTGGTATTCTAAACTCTTCTTATACAGTTTACAAAACAATAAGACTTAAAAAGCAGTTGTTTGATGATATTTTTACATCTGAGTGTTCACCAGACACAGTGGTAACTTCTACGTCCGCTTCAATCACTGTGCCCCCGTTTCAACTCACTCGCTGTGTGGGGAGGTGGTCGAGTCATGTGTATTGACTGGGGCAGATATTTATATATCATTTTAAGCATTATATATTAAAAGATATATTTTCAAATTGAACAATTTCGCATATATCAAAAGACTGTTCGTTTAAAATTTTACCAATAAAGAATCAAATACAATTTCACCGGGAGGACTGACGGCCTGGCCGATCATTATTACAGGCATTTGAGTTTAGATAATGGGTAAACACATGTTGCTGTTACAACGTTAGACTTTCATCTCACTGATTGACACAAATTAAACTGACACCGACTATGTTTTATTTTACACTAAAGGAAAGCCAAGAATTTGTTCTAAATGTTAACGAATATACCGAAACGAATGTGTCGTGTGTTAAGCCCTTGGTTTAGACATCATACAACGGGACCGTAAACCAGTCAGATTAAGTTAGTGAGAACCAGGTAGACCCTCCAAGTGTGCGTCGGCATTTGATTGCACATCCATATGTTGACCCTTACACTTCCAAATATAGTCTTGGGGGCATATTTTAACCTGAGTCCCTACGAGTGCATTGAACTCTCTGGGGTCGGGACAAAGTAAGTACATCTGTTCAGGAGCAAATCAATCGCTGTGATAACACATCTCCTTGTGTAAACACGCGTCTCGGTTGTTGTCCCCGATGTAGAGTGCATTGAATTATCTGGGGTCGGGACAAAGTAAGTACATCTGTTCAGGAGCAAATCAATCGCTGTGATTACACATCTCCTTGTGTAAACACGCGTCTCGGTTGTCGTCCCCGATGTACAGACACTCATAATACATTAGATTGTTAGGGATGGGCGATGTCTCGTCCTTCGTGACACCCAGTCTGGCTAACCTTCCGTGGTGATCTCGGCAAAACCCCAGTCAGAAACATATTTGTCAACTATTCTAAGCCCAACACGATATAAACACATGCACTTTTAGATCCATGCTACTTCCAGCTGACGATTCACTTTCTGTAATGATACGTCTGAGGCTTGAAACGACATATAGTAATATGGATTCTGTTGATAGATACGAAAGTTACATCTTCTAGAAAAAATTTTTCTAAATGACTATAAATAAAACATGTCAATATTCAATTATTTATTCACCCGAAAACTCACGATACAACTGCACAGGTAACAAAAGTAAACCCGGTAGCATGACTGTTGTTTAAACTTTGGGTAACGCAGCAAGGCCCAGTGTTAAACTGAAACTAAACAGCATCTACCAGTATCCCTTACATAAACCAGGCACAACATAACTGCATTACATCAAGTGCATTGTCCAGTGTTTAAATGCAAGAAAATAGCGTCTACCAGTACCACCGTATCCCTTGTATACACCAGGCACAACATAACTGCATTACATCTAGTGCCGTGTCCAGTGTTTAAATGAAAGAAGATAGCGTCTACCAGTACCACCGTATCCCTTACATAAAACAGGCACAACATAACTGCATTACATCTAGTGCCGTGCCCAGTGTTTAAATGAAAGAAAATAGCATCTACCAGTACCACCGTATCCCCTGTATACACCAGGCACAACATAACTGCATTACATCTAGTGCCGTGTCCAGTGTTTAAATGAAAGAAGATAGCATCTACCAGTACCACCGTATCCCCTTTGTAAACCAGGCACAACATAACTGCATTACATCTAGTACCGTGTCCAGCGTTTGCGCGAAGTAAAATAGCATCTACCAGTACCCCCGTATCACCTGTATAAACCAGGCACAACTGCATTACATCTAGTACCGTGTCCAGTGTTTAAATGAAAGAAGATAGCATCTACCAGTACCACCGTATCACCTGTATACACCAGGCACAACATAACTGCATTACATGTAGTACAGTGTCCAGTGTTTAAATGAAAGAAGGTAACATCTACCAGTACCACCGTATCCCCTGTATACACCAGGCACAACATAACTGCATTACATCTAGTACCGTGTCCAGTGTTTAAATGAAAGAAGATAGCATCTACCAGTACCAGCGTATCCCCTATATACGCCAGGCACAACATAACTGCATTACATCTTGTACCTTGTCCAGTGTTTAAATGAAAGAAGATAGCATCTACCAGTACCACCGTATCACCTGTATACACCAGGAACAACATAACTGCATTACATCTAGTTCCGTGTCCAGTGTTTAAATGAAAGAAAATAGCATCTACCAGTACCACCGTATCCCCTTTGTAAACCAGGCACAATCTAACTATTACATCTAGTACGGTGTCAGTGTTTGCGCGAAGTAAAATAGCATCTATACCAGTACCACCGTATCCCCTTTGTAAACCAGGCACAATATAATTATTACATCTAGTGCCGTCTCCAGTGTTTGCGCGAAGTACCACAGTGTCCACTGTATACACCTGGCTCAACATCGCTACACAAAGTGAGGTGAGGTGAGGTGAGGTGAAGTTAGGTTTAACGTCGTACTTCAGAATATTTCGCTCATATGACTACGTGCATGCGTGTGTATGTGTATGTGCGGCTGCTTGTACTAGCCCAGACTGAAGCTGGCTTTATAGCGCTAGCCCAGTGAGATACCGCAGTGAAGCATGAATACCCCACTCAGACACATTATACTGACTTGTTGCACCCATTTATGCTGAGCGCCAGGCAGGGACCGCTACACCAAGTACCATGTCCTTTGTTTAAAAAAAGAAAAAAAGCATCTGCCAAAAACCACCGTATCCTCTATATGGAGAAGGCACAACATCAACACACCAAGTACGGTGTCCTTTGTGTAAGTTAAGGATCAAATCCGAGAAGGAGGTTTTGATCTAACTTATAAACCAACCGAAGGTATACTTTCAATATTTGGTGTTCACTGTTGCAATCAACTGGGATACGACTGGCAGACGATACCTTGCCTTGCGCCATTCGTCACCACTCGCCCCTTTCCGTAAACTCGGTATTCGGCTTGTCCCGGAATAACACGAGTGGGTCACGAATGGCCTTGCGCCCGTAATGCACGTGCTTTGCACGCGCTAGCCGTGTCCTGCACGTGCGCTGCCCGCTATACCCGTCTTGTGAGGAGCACATGGTTGATACTGCTAAAAAATCATATTCTTTACAGCGATCCTTCGTAGCCTTGTGGAGAAACGCGCCTAGCTAGTAAACGAAAGGTTGCAAGTTCGAAATCAAACTTCAGGACAATACCTTGAAGGTTTTCAATAATGTGATATTTTACGATCGTGTTCAAAACTTGTACAAGTAAAATAATTCAAAGCCAAGGACTATTCCTCTGAAAATATCTGGACAATTCCTCAGAGAATCTCTGGGACCCGGGCAATTCCTCCAAAAGTCTCTGGGACCCTTGCAATTCTGTCAAAAAATCCCCGGGATTTCTTGGAGAATGTCAGCGAAACTGCCTGTGGAGGTTTACTCGGTAAAAGGAGAACCTGGCGAGACAACAGGATGACGTCACTGGAGGTTTATAAAGGAAGGAAAACAGCAACAACCAACACCACCGTGTCCCCTGTATAAACAAGACACCACATGATGGCACTACTTTACAGTACTGTGTCCGTTGTTTAAAGGGCAAGCGAGAGCTCTTGTATCACAGCCTGTTTTTTATTCATCTCGGGCCGATTTCTCGAAACAGATCTAGATTTAAGTTTGTACTCAAATTTTAAACTGAGTTTGACAATTTGAAACAGCTGAATTTTTTTCTACCTTCTCAGCGTCCTCCAGCCTCAACAACCTCCTCCATGCCAACGGAAGAAAACAACCCACCGTCAACAACAACAACCCGAAATGTGTTATTTACAAAATAGACTGTGATTGTGGACAATGCTACATAGGTGAAACATCCCGACCCATCAACACCCGAGTCAAAGAACATCGCACCTCTGTTGCTAATTCCGACACCAAATCAGCTATCTCTGACCACATCAAAGCCAACCCCAATCATCAAATAGAGTGGTCCGACATCACCATTCTCGCCAACAACCAAACGGACTTCACTAAACGCAAGCTCACAGAAGCCATTCACATCAAACGCCACAAGCCTACCATCAACCGTGACCAAGGATACTTCATTCCATCTGCTTATGATCCACTCCTCCACCAAGCCCAGTCTATTGTATAAACATCGCATCCATTGTATAAACATCTCATTGTAACTACATCTCTGGCTTCCACTCACTATCCTTTATGTACTTACTGGCTTCATCAGCTTACTGCTTAGCCAATCATGGCAATTATGTTGTTTCCTTTGTCTATTATGTTGTTTCATTGTTATATACAGTATATATATGCAGCTCCTACACTTCATGTACCACTCTTGCTTGACAACGGTACAAGAATCTGTATCGAAACGTCGCACTCACGAAAATAAAGAAGTTGTTATCCATAAAACTTGTTATATATAGCTGAATTTTTAAAGCAACTGCATTTTTAAAATAAAAAAGCCCAAACAACTTAAGAAATCTATCCTCCAAACTCAAATTGTCCGCTATGTTTGAGTTTAATATCGATTTCAGTTTATACTGGAAAATGCATTTTTCTGTGTTTTCTCAAATTTGAGTAGAATCTCTAGCTTCAGTCAAAGCTCAGCTTTAAGTTTGCTTCGAGTAATTGGGGCCAGATCTTAAGACCAAATCCACTACCATACACCCAGTACCATATCCTTTGTTCAGACTATGGGAATCACTAAAACAAGACCCCTATCGGACTCTAATGGTCCACAAGGTCCACAATGTCATAGGGTTTCAGCATCAGCCTGTACAGCATCCTGTGGTCACACGTCAGGGAAGAGCGCTGCAGCCAGTAACCTACCCTGTCAATGGGCGCGCAGCGGTGTTAAATCGACTTGAGCAACGTCGTCATGCAAGAAACTGATTATACTCACACTGCAGTGTCAACGTGGTCCCTGTTCCTGTTTCCAGACTGTAGGTTTTAGTCCCCGCATCTGCAAAGTATGTCCCAGCTTGAAGAACAAAAATACCTCTGCTCATACACATTAAGGCATAACTTCGGTATTGGGAGTTTCTTGGTTTCAAGATGGGAGATATTACACCTTTTATCACAACCTATCATTTGGGTCCTTTTAATATTGGTAAATAAACATTTCAACATTCTTTCCACTCAACCGCTTCTATTTCAAACATGTATTTATAACGAGTTTTGCGAATTAAGTGTACACGTATCACAGTATCATCAACATGAAAAGACGAAAACTGTTCAAAAGATCATTTCTAAGAAATACATTTGCTAAATCGCTTACTGAACCATCTTCTGCCCATTCACTATTACTTAGATAATTAAGTTGTTTGAGGTATGCGTTTCTGATTATATGGATGAAAAATAACGGGACATATACAGTTGTTGTTTTCTCTTGTAAAGTAATCTTTCATTTCTTTTGAAAAGTAATCTTACCAAACTGTAGTAGTGGTGTTGTCTCCGTAGCAACCTCCGCGAGCTTCTGTTTGAAAAAATAGAAAATATTTCAGTGTCGCATTCCACACACCAGTATGCATGGTTCCCTTCTAATAATTTGATTATACGTACATCGATTTAATGTACAAACAATACGAACATCATATATACGCAGGTGATCGGGAATTGTTAAGAATCATTACCTCGGAGACGAAGACACGTATATACGCATGCTTACTGAGAAGTACTTACATGCTTGCGTGTCTTCTCCGGGTCAGATAGATGGATGTCATCTGTCTGTGTACCTCTGTCTGTAAAATAACCCACAACTGTTACCAATCGATTCTTTTATGTTTCATTGAGTTTTTACAGGTAAGAATAAATACTTACAGATATTAGAAACAGGTTAAGATATACATCAATAAGCTATCCAATATTTACCCGTTATTTATTTATTGACAAAGCATAATTACAAATACTTTACAATATACCAGGAAGTATTAATCAATTATACAACATGTATTATCAGAGTAAGAAGTAAGTACCTGTAAGTGTGTGCTCGTCAGATGCTGATCCTTCTCCAACGACAGACCCGAAGTTAGAAATGTCAGATTGCAATTTGTCCAGTCCTCTCGTGTTAAATGCAGCTGCAGGTGAACTGTACACCTCTGGTGGAACTGATCTCAAGTGTGTCTTCGTTGTTTCTTGTATTGAACTCTCCAGTGTCAGAAAGTCCGAGTTTGAAGCATATCTGAGAACTGTCTTGATGTAGTCTGAGGTAAACTTGCATCGTTCACTCTCGCCTTCAGAGGTTACTTGTTCAATGCCTAGATTTGCCAGTTCCTGCTTCGTCTGATTGTCAAGATCGATAATCAGTTCCTTCTCTCTTTGATCGAGTTGTGTCCTCAGAGAATGGAAAGTGTGGTGGATGGTCTCCTTCACAGCACTGCTTGTCTTCTTGGTGTCATTCACGGCTTTGTTGATGCTCTTCAGATATGCTTGGTGAGAAGTATGATGTGCAGTCACGTTCTTCCCATGTTGTTCTATCCGCACTTTAGCAGCATCAGCAGCCACATCTACATCTCCAACGTCGTGCTCAGCATGGTCGCCAAGTCTGCATTTATAACAGATTAAAATGTTGCAGCTTTTATCAAAATATTCAAGAGGATAACGTTTGTGAAGTTTGCAAACTGGTTCAGCCTGCATGCTTCCTGGTGCCGTGTCCACAATGGTTTCAACAACATGTCGTCTGGTAGCTTTAACGCTGTTGTGCATGTTCTGGCAGTATTCACAGAGGAAGTCTTCGCACTCTGGACACCAACACACAGCCTGGTTGCCGTCATCGTCATTTGTACAGAGAAGCTCTGTGGGGCGATGTTTGACTGTCAGATGGAATATTTCTTTCTGTCTCACTGTATCCTTGTGGAGGCTTGTGTCTTTGAGGTTGACCTCCCTCTGACATGTGGAGCATGATATCACACCACCAGCTGCAGATGTCACACACGTCTCACACACAGCGTGTAGACAGGGCAGTAGGTAGGGGGCGGGGCCCTTCAGGGTAAATGCTGCTGACACACAGAACATTTGGGGAAGGCGTCCATTCTGAAACAAACATATCGTTGTCTTAATTCACTTCAATTAAATAATATCAACAATTTATCAAGAATGGCAAACTAATTCGAAGAAAATATATGCGTTGGAATATAGCACTTCCCCATGATGAAGTATGATTTTCAGTAAAACTCCGGCAAACACATTTCACTACATCAATGGAGGGAAAAGAGGCAACAACCCTTGTGAGGACTAGAAGAGAACAACCCTGTAAACCCCAGTCTTAGACATAGTTTACTATATCCATTGTTGAGTGAGTGAGTAAGTAACTGAATTGGGTTTTAGCAATATTCCAGCAATATCACTGCTGGCGAAACCAGAAATGGGCTTCACACATTGTTCCCATGTGGTGATCGAACCCAGACCTTTGACGAGACGAGCAAACGCTTTACCCACTTGGCTACCCACCGCTCTATCATATCCATTAAGTCATTCAAACAGATGGGTCCGCTAAGGCAGGAATAGTGACTCTAACTCTCACACTAAGAGAGTGGGTTCGTATCTCGGATGGGACTTAACCTCAGTACTAGAATCAGTACTTTCCCGATAAAGTGTAATCCCAAATATAGTACAGGTTCCATCTGCTCACTTTCTAAACGGCGTTGTGAGTTCATACATGAACACAGTTGGGACCGACAACTACACCGACACGGCCTCGTCACGAATACAAGACAATATCAACTACCGGACTCTCGCAAGTCAAACATATCTTTCTTCCACTTTTGCATGGCTTGTTTCCATCCTAATTTACTCTCAGCTCAATGCTAATTTGTTTTATTTGCTCATCAGATGTATATTTCTTCACTTTATTTGTCCCTCAACTTCCAGACAGACTCCATCAACGAATTTGCCCTTTTCCAATAAATAGTAAACAAATACAAATACATTAACAATTGCCCTTAAATTAGCCGTAGGTGCAAGGACTGGTACCTCCGCCAACACACCCCCTGTTCACCAAAGGCATAACATCAATTACAACAAAGAGACAACAGTACTAACTCAGCCTAACAACTCGCCTGGGACTGAGCACAACCCAATAATATACAATGAGTGAGTGAGTATGGATTAACGCCGCTTCACACACTGTACCCGTGATCGAACCCGGGTCATCAGTATGACGAGCAGTCACTTTAACAATTAGGCTACCCTTACGCCACTTGTTCTACCTCACACAATATACTATTCACTCTACCCGTATTTCCCACACCTCGAGCTGGCTAGAAACATCAACTGTTTATCCACCCCGAACTCATGCCCCTTTATCTACCCGACCACCCGCAGTCACCCAATGACAGAACTCTCTCAGTGATCACAAGCACCATTAACCGCCTAAAAATAGCCTGTCCTACTTGTAGCTTGACGACGATAACGCCCATGCACAACGATCCACAATAATATCATACCTCAAGTTTGACTGCTGTCAAGTCACAACTGGGTTCTGCCAGTTTGATACTTGTAAAGAAACGGAATGTATCTAATCCTAATATATGCCAGTAACACCCTGTATCTCTGTGGCAATGTTAGGTCGAGTTGTCCTTGTTTTGGGGGAGATGTGGGTAATGGTAGGAGGGTGAAGCGCTTGGAGGGGGGGGGGGGATGTGGATAATGGTAGGAGGGTGAAGCAGGGTAGAGAGAGATGTGGGTACTGGTAGGAGGGTGAAGCCGGTGGGAGAGAGATGTGGGTACTGGTAGGAGGGTGAAGCCGATAGGAGAGATGTGGGTACTGGTAGGAGGGTGAAGCCGTTAGGAGAGAGATGTGGGTACTGGTAGGAGGGTGAAGAGAGGAGGAGAGAGATGTGGGTACTGGTAGGAGGGTGAAGCCGTTAGGAGAGAGATGCGGGTACTGGTAGGAGGGTGAAGCCGGTGGGAGAGAGATGTGGGTATTAGTAGGAGGGTGAAGCGAGGGGGAGAGAGATGTTGGTACTGGTAGGAGGGTGAAGCCGGTGGGAGAGAGATGTGGGTATTAGTAGGAGGGTGAAGCGAGGGGAAGTGAGATGTGGGTACTGGTAGGAGGGTGAAGAGAGGAGGAGTGAGATGTGGTTACTGGTAGGAGGCTGAAGCCGGTGGGAGAGAGATGTGGGTATTAGTAGGAGGGTGAAGCGCGGGGGAGTGAGATGTGGGTACTGGTATAAGCGTGAAGTGAGGAGGAGAGTGATGTGGGTACTGGTAGGAGGGTGAAGAGAGGAGGAGTGAGATGTGGTTACTGGTAGGAGGCTGAAGCCGGTGGGAGAGAGATGTGGGTATTAGTAGGAGGGTGAAGCGCGGGGGAGTGAGATGTGGGTACTGGTATAAGCGTGAAGTGAGGAGGAGAGTGATGTGGGTACTGGTAGGAGGGTGAAGGAGGGAGGTGAGAGATGTGGGTACTGGTAGAAGGGTTAAGCGGCGAGGTGAGAGATGTGGGTACTGGTAGCTGGGTGAAGAGAGGAGGAGAGATATGTGGGTACCGGCAGGAGGGTGAAGCGGGGAGGTGTCAGATATGGGTACTGGTAGGAGGGTGAAGGAGGGAGGTGAGAGATGTGGGTACTGGTAGGAGAGTTAAACGGCGAGGTGAGAGATGTGGTTACTGGTTGGAGCGTGAAGAGAGGAGGAGAGATATGTGGGTACTGGTAGGAGGGTGAAGCGGGTAGGAGAGAGATGTGGGTACTTGTAAGATCGAGAACAGGTGAGGAGGGTGAGGCGATTATGTGTATGAATGAGAGCTCTTTTCTGCAATGCTAAAGCCCTAAATAAGCACGTCTAGATTTCCTGAGCTGCTTTTCCCTCACATTGGGGCTCCTTATCAACTTTTACGGCCGGTAATTACTTGTTTCTATCAACACTACATATACCCTTAATAAACTTAGAGGAATTTCCATTTAAAGTACGATTGAAAAACATTGGAGATATATAACGAGTCAATCTACTTTGATGTGAAGATAATGAATGTTTTGAGAGTGCATTACCACTTGCACTTCCGTATGACCATAGTTGTCTGTAAAATAGGCGCTCTTGAAACATGATTGGTGTATGACGTGAAATCTGCATGAGTACGATTTTCATTTTCAGATGCAAGATGATTATCAAAATTAATGATCTACAGTGATTTAACGAACATTTTGAAAACCGTCAAAACCAATAATAACACCCGATACACGTGTATGGCAGCTACTGTGCTGTGCACGCGAATACCATGCGATGTATTTACGGGTGGTGATAAAGGAAAATTGTAATGTGTGCCTCACATCCTGTACCTCACGCATCGTATATCACATCCAGGACCTCACACCCCTTACCTCTCATCTAGTACCTCACATCTCGTACCTCATATCCCGTACCTCACGTCCTGTACCTCACATTTCGTACCTCACATCCCGTACTTCACATCCTGTACCTCACATCCCGTACAATACATCCCGTACCTCACACCTCGTACCTCACATCTAGTACCTCACATCCCGTACCTCACATCTCGTACATCACACAACGTGCTTCACACCCCGTACTTCACACCCCGTACCTCACATCTAGTACCTCACATCCCGTACCTCACATCCTGTACCTCATATCCTGTACCTCACACCCCGTACCTCACACCTAGTACCTCACATCCCGTACCTCACATCTAGTACCTCATATCCTGTACCTCACATCCTGTACCTCACATCCCGTACCAAACATCTAGTACCTCACATATCGTACCTCAAATCTAGTAACTCTAATCCCATACCTGACATCTAGTACCTCACATCCTGTACCTCACATCCTGTACCAAATATCTAGTACCTCACATCTCGTACCTCACACCCTGTACCACACACAGCGTACCTCACATCCCGTACCTCACATCTAGTACCTCACACCCCGTACCTAACATCCCGTACCTCACATCTAGTACCTCACACCCCGTACCTAACATCCCGTACCTCACACAGCGTACCTAACATCCCGTACCTCAGATCTCATACCTCACACCCCGTACCTCACATCCCGTACCTCACACCCCGTTCCTCACATCTAGTACCTCACACCCCGTACCTCACTCCCCTTACCTCACATCTAGTACCTCAGATCCCGAACCTCACATCCTGTACCTCACATCCCGTACCTCACACCCAGTACCTCACATCCCGTACCTAACATCCCGCACCTTACACCCAATACCTCAGATCATTTTTTGATAACCCTCTTTGAAAAACTGCTTAACGCTTATATTTCCGTTGCAAATTAAAAGTTCAGGACCCCCTACCTTTTGAAGAGAATATAATCAGAGACTAAACGCTAGTCTACTATATGTCACACACATCCTTCTGCTTTAACCATACACTCCACCCGTATTTCTCACACCTTGAGCTTCCTCAGTATGAGCCATGTATCCACCCTCAACTCCTGCACCTCGAGCTACCCGACTGCACACAAACGCCGCAGGTATAGATCTGTCCCATTGATCCCCTGCACTACTTATCTAAAAATAGCCTGTCCTGCATGTCACTTGACGACGACAACGCCCGTATTCACACAGTCGACGATAATGTAGACCTCAATGCAACGTCGATGCAGTCAAGTGACGAGAGGATTTCTGCCAGAGTGATTGTTTTGTAAATAAACGGAATCTGCCTGATCCTAATTCGCCAACTGACACCCTGTTCCACTGTCATAACGTTAGATAGAGTTGACCTTGTTTTGTAAGTGTAATATGACATGTATCGTGCGTAACACACCACGAGTAATGGCGCCAGTTGGAGTGACAATAAAAGGTTTACCTCTAAAGCCTGATCACTTAAATTAATTCAAGTCCAGCATAGAAATTACACAAGCTATTATACTCACGTATGTATTTCGCTGATTTACACTGCACCTATATCCTTCTCAAGACAGCTTTACTGGAATATGTCGCGACGACACAGCACACACCTACCAGGAGGTTCGGCTTCCTTGTTATACAGGTCACTTCCGGGTTATATGTTTAGGTGCGAGTTTTATCGTAATCGAATAGCGAACAGCTCTATCATACTAAGCACAAACTGAACTGTTTGATGTTTGATGTACGTGACACTTAGATCTATATTTAACAGTATTATTGTTGTACCATGGCGGGTCCATGTAATATAGCCCACAATTGTGTTTGTTCTAACTTGACTGATTTCCCCTACATGAAAACGTGTGTGTAAGTGCGTGCGTGCGTGCGTACGCGCGTGCGTGTGTCTGTTTTACCCATGGCATGACAAACGACACTGGTTACACCATTCCCATCTGTGTTGTTGTACATCCACATCAACTTCATGTATTGTCTTCAGCTTCATAATGGTGTTTATTTACAAATTGGCTGACATTGCATACAACTATCTTGACCAAAGTGATAGCGTGTATCCTGCTGGGAATTACGTATGAGGACAGACACAGTAAATCTCCATGTTCTCTAATGATCTCATTTTGGTTTCTAGTTCTCTGTAGTCTAGTTGAAATTTGTACCAAATTCAGATAAAATTATTTGTTTGATATTGATTTGGTTTGTTTTATAACTGGTCACTCACTTATCCGCATACCCTCAACCATACCTCCTAAAACACGTCTACAGAAAACAGAGTTGATTGTGTACGATTCTATCCAGAACCGTATTGTGTGCGTCTCCTTGTGGATCACAGTAAAATAGTTATGATACCAGATGCATGAACTTGAATGCGTATCCTTTGCCACCCGAGGCATACAAAACAGACAGGGGAAAATGACATCCTTTAATCTTGAGGAGTGAATATCATCGACTGATGACTGATAATGACTGAGGTCAGTTGGTCTTCTGCTCTGTATACAGATACTTATAATATAGTATTCACTATAACAGGTTTTTTGTAATGGCACTCATAATCACTACGTCTTCAATTTGTTGATTATAGGATAAAATAGATGTTTTGATTTTACATATTCCACGTGTTCTTTGTATAAGAGAGTAAATGAGACTTGGTAAGAGTTTAAGGAATCAAAAAAGCGCTTAGTGTGTGTGGTTTTACAATGTTCCTCCCAAGTCACAATATTGTTGCGGTGTACGTTTCAAACTCATTCACTCGCATTCGCTAGAGCGTCCTTAATGTCAGCAATGTCGGAAGCTCTTGTGTCCTGAAGTGTGTCCTCAGAGGGTTCCAGGTCTCTCCTCTTCAGAGTTGACAGAAACCCAAACACAGTTGCCGAGATGAACATTGCTCCTGAAACAACGATAAGATCCACGATACAGTGGATCAGAGTTGACAGAAACCCAAACACAGTTGCCGAGATGTACATTGCTCCTGAAACAACGATAAGATCCACGATACAGTGGATCAGAGATGACAGAAACCCAAACACAGTTGCCGAGATGAACATTGCTCGGGAAACAACGATAAGATCCACGCTGAAACAGTGCATACAATGCAGGCATGAGAGGTTGGAAAACATTGGTTATCTGTGTACATGTACATGACCATAGGCCCCCACTGCGGGTCATGAGAAAATCGATAAACGTTCATCACAGAAATACGGTGACACGATCGAAAACCAGACTATTACGCACACATCAACCGATATATTGTATTTTCAAGGTCTCACAAATATCAAAAGCTCTTGTCTATATCTCCGATGTGTGTAGGGGGCATATACATGCGCTTTCCGTGGGGATGCATTTGATGGTTTTTATTAAATCGCCAAAGACCGAGTTGCTGTGCCGGAGGTATACATAACTAGGTCGTCAGCGCTTGACTTCACTACCTCCGGCAATCTGATTGGCTAATACATTACACTGAATGAATGGATTATTGTGTGTTTCTTTAAAAAATATTTTTATTCGTTTTTAAAATAATTCGTACCAAGATAAAACATCATACCGTGACAAATTGGATGAAAGACGTTTGAGTTACCCTCTCATTTTCGCACGTGCATTTGTTGTCATTTTTTTAACAAATTGGATTGCGCTGACGACCTAGTTTTGTATACTTCCGGCACAGCAACTCGGTCTTTGTTATATAGTAGGGGGTGTGGATATTACACCGGGGGCTAGTTTATCGATTTCTGACTCGCAGTGGGGGCCTATGTACATGACGATATGACAAATATCCCTCCCATCAGAATTAGTCTTAGGCAATCCTTTTTTGTCGTTAGAGAAGGGGTCAGGTGGTCAGGCTCGCCATCGGGCGTTTCCCAATTGTGTACATCGATGCTCAGTCATACATTGGATTGTCTAGATTCGGTTATTTACAGACAGCCGTGCTATAACTGGAATTCTAGAGAGTAAGTCATACGGGGTTAGAACGTCACAGCTTGTTTCGGAAGAGCAATTTAGACAATACTAAATCCAAGCTGTCAAATCGATATTGCCAAGACGGACATGAATACAGGTGGAAATATGTTGAGAAGTTCTCACTGAACAGAATTAAAACTGTTCAATTGAAACCCTGGATTGTTCAAATGCATATAAACATATAGTTCCGAAACACCCAATTATAAAAATCAGTAAACTGAAAATGAAGTTATGACATGCTAAATCTGTCGAGAGGATGAAATATCTACCCAGAAGGCTGATCTTGATTCGGAAACAATGGTTCGTTTTCATCAACCAGTGTGACCAAATAAACACAACACTGAAAGAGCGCAAAGCCCTGTCGAGCTTGTTCAAGCAGCTGCCAGGGATACCATTTTGCATAAATTACCTTCATAGACAAAATAGTTTTGACATGTTAATAGACTAGAATCTAAAGTACATTTCGCCATGATTATGATCGACCGTCAGTTTGTGAAAAATATGCTACATCAAATCGAATATTTAAAACGCATTTGAATATGTGTTTATTTTTCTATCCAAGCTGTCTCAGTTATCAGAGTCCTAATTTAACTGATAGTAAAGCATGTTATGTATATGCATATGAACTGAATATTTGTTGATGATTATACTGTTGATCACTGGATTATCTGGTCTAGATTCGATTTTTGACATATTGATGGAATATTGATTTGTGAGGCGTAAAATAACTAACAAACGACCAAAGAAGTGTGTAACGCTAAACTAACGCCCTACAACAACTAGTTTATAATTACACTCATGCTGTTGATCACTGGATTGTCTGATCCAGACTCTAGGATTACTAGGAATATTGCTGAGTGCGGCGTAAAACTAAGCTCACTCACTCACTCACTTATACTTATAATCAGTAATGGCACAGACAGGCATCAATAATGACATGTCAACACAAGGGAAATAAACAAACATGAAACATAATAAAAGCTAGCAAACTTTCCCTGGAATATCTCATTAACACTGGTCAATGTTACAATTTCATATCTCAGAATGTCCTCTTTGGTAAAGTGTGAATGAATTTTACCCCCGCTTTCAGTAATATTCCAGAAATTTCACGTTTTCACTAGACTGTCCAGCGGAGACACCGTCAACGGTATTACATTATAAGTAAAAGTCACGACCTACTCGAAAACAAAAATGCACTGTTCTTATCGCCGCTTTGTTCCGTCATTGTCCCTGAAATATAACGTCAGACAGAATAATTAAACACAATATAGTCATGAGTTAGAAACTTCAGATAGTAATAGTTCTGTTTTCGTGTGTATGATTCCTAAAATCGCTCACATTATGATTAAGGGAGAAATGATATTTATAATATACTGAACCACAAAAGAAATGTCGCACTGAAAGGGGTTTCTTAAAGCACAGACTTTAATTCACTCTAATTACCAATCAAAACGGAGGACTGAGTTCAAACTTGACAATTATGGTTACACATTTTCGGGAAACAAAACACAAACAAAATCACCAAAATGGTACCCTTAAGATATCCCAAAAGTCAGTATCGTGTGTGGCCTCTATGGGCATCGATGAAATCGTTGCATCGTCTGTAAATGGAATGAATTAGACGGTCGATGAATGTCATACACACTTGGGTCCATACTCTGCGAAATGCCTGATCGAGTCCAGCCGTAGTTGTCGGCCTTTCGTTGGAGGCCATTCAGTCTTCTTTGAATCTCGTCCCAAAGATGTTCTACTGGACTTAAATTCGGACTGAGTGCATGGTTTTTGCAGGGTTTGGATGCCATGCTATCTTAGGAAGTCCAATGTTGCTCTGGCAGTGAGGGCACGACCGTTGTCTTGCTGGAAGATGTGATTTCTGTAACGTCGATAATGTGGTACAACGTGGGGTTCTTATGACTTGGTCAATATAGCGAGCAGCTGTCATGTCATTTCCTCATCCTGGACCAAGATTCTGGAACACCATGGTGTCAACTAACTGGTTCAGACCGATTGAACCCCACGCCATGATGCTTGGACCACCCCACGAGTCTCTTTCAACAATGCACTCATTGGAAAACATTTCACCACATCATACTCTCACTCTGCCATCGACTGACGAAACACAGTATCGGCTTTCATGAGATAACAGCACAGTTCTCCACTGTCGATAACGCCAATTTCGAGGCTGAGTTGCCCATATTCGTCCGTTTGGGCGGTGATGAGCGGTGAGGACAGGACTACGATACGATCCGTGACAGTAGAGGTTTCTTCCGTTCAAACGTCCACGCACTGTATCGGCACTGATGGGTCTGTTGTGAGTCCCAATGGTCTGCCGTGCTGTTTCCGTCGCTTTGGGGAAGCGATCCTGCAGATGGTTGCGCACAAGCTGTCGGTCTTCACGTTGTGATGTTACTGAAGGTCGCCCACTGCGTGGACGGTCTTGCAATGGGTGTTAGTGACCTGATACCACTCCTGCTGTCCTAACATGAACATTAAAATGATTGGCTACCCTCCGTGCAGTCTGGACAACTTGCAACCGTCCCACGACTTGGTTCCTCTGAACTCTTGTAAGAAGTGGCATAGTTATTGTGTCAAAACAAAAATGATTTCAGGCGAGTTTGGGACTCGCTTTCATTGGTAGGGTTGTCACGACATGCACGTGCATTTTCCTTTTCACGAATGTCA